TTTTCAATTGTTGGTAGAATTTTAAATTTTAATACTATTCATGAGAACAATTATTGATAAATAAAATCGAATAAAAGTTAAAACACTTAAATGTATTGTTATGATAATGTCATTACAGTATCCTAGCTTGTATATTCACTATGATCGAAATCAGTTTTGTGCGGTAAACAATAGTGATTATTTTAAAATGTTTGGTAAGAGATACATATGTACTACATAGGTATATATAATTTTATGATGGAAACGGAATTATTGRATTTATTTTGTTTATTACCCAACTATAATAATATAATTTGTACCAATTTAAATTGGTAACATCAAAGTTTAATATTTTCCTCGCTGTTTTTAGCACTTGTAGCTCTAACATGTTATAATAATATCACTGGTGACCCACTTAAAATATTATTATGCCCTGCTCGTTACTTGTGAAGTTATATGTGTTTACTTACCTACGTTATGGTCTTATATTATTATAAATCATAAATATTATGACGATTGAAGCGTAAATATTTATTTTTATAGTTTTTTTTTTTTTAATTCCAGACATCATAATATCAAAAATATCATAATATAATACATTATTATTCTGATTTCATAACGCTAAATTGATTCATTTTACTGAGCACTTTTGAAACACATCGAAGTACATCAAGCTGGCGTGGACGGGGAGTTGTACAATTGCATTACTAACATTATTAAAGGACTTAAAATAATACAAGAACGTGAAGGACACCCACCCMTTCATCATATGGTTTAATATGGTTTCGTGCTCTCTTCGCCTTACACAAGTAAACAATATATCACATTTWCGTTGAACAGAACCAATTTTGTGTTGTTAGATCATATCATATCGTATCAAAATTAATGGAAAAACATTATTTGCGTAATTTAAATTGGTTACTTAAATATTTTCATTTTAAGGAAGTTATGGACATTTTTGCTTTACAATATTTTAAACACTAATTTAATAATATTTAATATTTATATATGATAAATATGATAAAAATCAAAGAAAACACAGATAATGTGATACTAAAACACAGAAACAGAATATTTAATCAAATGTATCAACAAAACCCAATAATACGTAAATGTTCACGCCAGCAAATATTTATCCACAAATTAAGTACGATGCATATTATATTACGCATAATATATTATATCCCGATATCATATGTGCTATTTTTATGCAGAATTTTCATATTATATTCCGACGATAAACTTAGAGATAAAAGCGCAATATGCGGCCAAAAATATCTCGCTYAATCTCTAAAAGACGTTTCACATAATATTATAAACGAAAATCCAACTCCTCAAACACAACTTGCCAAAGATACAAACAAGTGTCAACACTTAAAGAACTCAAAAAAAATAGACATGCAGAATATGAAATTTGTAGGTATTTAATGTGACATGAAGTGACCTTGAACCACTCACAATTGACCAAATACCTTTGAGTAACTATGAAATATCTATTAGAAACACTGTAAAAACACAAAAGCTGAGGTAAAAACCAAGAATCACTTGCTGAAATACACCAGTTCATACACTAAGGGGGATACAGGCCTAAAACTTTATAGAACAATATGTCTCTCTCGTACATACTCAGCTACTAAGTGATGGCATAGAAATCGTCAGCACAYGCTAAGAATATTGACGTGATGGTAATTAACCAAAGAAGACTGATTTCAATTATGACTTCAATTATTTCAGCGAGAGTAAGGACACTAAGAAGTTACGTATGATATATTTTATTACAAATATACATTATATGATCATACAATTTCTCATATTATTATTTTTTAAGTACCTATCTTAATAAATAATTTAATATATTACATAACGAGTATTTGTTTAAGCTCGGTTTTCATAAATAAAATATGTACCAAATGCATTTGTATTATTATACACGTTTTTTTATTTACAATCAAGTGATTTATATCAGTGAGAGTAGCATAATACATTTTTATTTGTACAAATACATTAAATTTATTGTTATAGCATTTTTGTGTACAAAAACATTTCTTAAAACGACATTGAATTTAATGTTTCGAATGCATTTCGAAGAAGTGCTCTAGAATTGAATTCAAGTCGTACTTTATGGCCGAAAAACCCGTAAATGGTGATTGTTGAAYGCGTATAATACGTGAAGGTAACAATTGTAATATTTTTAAGCCGGCCAATTCAAAGATATTTATCCAATTTATTTATTTATTATTATCAACCTTACAAGCTCTTGAAATATTATGATATCTCTGATTGCCACTTCAACACTTACTTAGCTCTGACAATGGCGATGTTTCCCGTGTAAACATTTAAGGTTTTTGACCACATATTTTTCATTTGATAAATTATATAATAAACGAACTCACGGTTATTGTTCGATTGTAGAATGTTAAGTGCTSAAGAAGTATAAAACGTATAAATTAAATTATWAATTACTTAACTAGGTTTTTTTTCAAAGAGCACGTAAAGTCAACATTAATTTAGATAAATAATTCTAGTAGGTAGTTAATGACCCACCATAGTTTCATGTTGGGGTATTGAATAAATCGGCATTTACACTTGTTCTGATTTCTTTAAGGACCATAAGTTACACAACTTCATCTCTGTTTGTGGTCCTTTTTTCAAATACCTCTCACAGTAATTAAAATGTAATGAATTATGTAATAATTGTTAGTCGCCGAGTAACATACTACTATTGTTTACACTTTAAATCATATTATTGGTACATGTGTATTAGGTATATTTATTAATGRAAATTGTGTTCTTATAAATACTCGTATTGTAGGCTCAAAACCAAATTTAGAACCTMTCTAAAGTTATACAATTGTTCAAGAACATAATTTCAAATTTCAAACGTCTTTTTTTCTTTCTTAATAGATATCTGAAATATCTGAAATAGATATCAAGTGTAAGATACCACAACAAAATAAGATAGTATAGATTTCATAGATCATCTATAGAATCATCCTGTTGTGTTTGATGTTCAACATATTCATCTTAAAATTACTGATATTTAATACCTTATCATCGCTAAATCAAAATAAATATTTAAGTATCCATCACACACCAAAATAATAATTGTATATAGATAATACATTTAAGCAACTCACTGTCAAACATTACCGTTATTTTTCTTTCTCATTTGTATTTTTCAACACATAAACATTAAATTGATTCTGTTCAACGCAAGATATTGATATGCCAAAGTTAACAATACAAGCAAGGAGGTGGTCTTGGAGGGATTCAATACTGATTGTTTTTAAAAAGTTYAACATTAGAAATTTTATAAGTTATTGTTTGAATAATAAATAATGTATAGTAAGTGCATTATGACTGTATTGTATATTCCCACGTAAGAATGCATATTATGTTACTAATTTATAGTAAGCAAATAATATTTATCACTAAAAATGATGAACTGCTTGTAACCATTCCTAGAAATGTGATAAGAATTTAGAAAATATATAACATTTAATATGAAGTTTATTTGAGATCAATTTTTCCACCATTTCAATTTTTCTGTTTCCTACAATTTTCAATCAATAATTCTTCGGTTTCACATCTTAAAAATCAATTATTTGCTGAAAATTAGTCCTTGCAGAAATTCTTGAATACRAGTTACGACCTGCAGTGAATCACAGTTCTGTTGATCGAACTTTTAGTGCTGATTGTCAAGAGGTTGATCACCYCCCACATATCACTGATTTTTAAACAACGAAAACGCGTGAACTCTACAGTGCTTACTAATTAACTTATTAGAATCTGGGATGTTTAATCATTAATCAATTCATAAACTGTAACTTTAACGTACTATGTATTCAATGGTACAAATTAGATAGGTATTCTMACRATTAAAAGAGTAAGAAAGGAAAATAAATGGAACTTGGAAAACCAAAAAGAAGGTATGATTGATGTTGTGTATTAAGCTTCTTATGAATCGAAGTATGTATTAATATTTATTATTACATTAATAGTTGTGCCGGTATGATGGTCAAAATAAATAATTATATATATTTTTGTCGGGAAAAACCATTGCGATTTGATACATCTGTTCCTCCATTGCGTTTAGTTTCCCCTCCGCAGCGTAACTATCATATAATATTAGCTTGCAAGCACTCACCTCTTTGTCCTGGTTTCTCAGCGTCGTCGCCGGGCGGAAACAAGTAGTCATTCGGCATCGCAGACGCTGCTTCATCCACGGACACATTCTGCAGCCCATTCGGCAGAGGGTCCCACGTCCATTGGCAGTGCGGGTCCAACGTGCACGTGTCGTCCACGTAAGACTTTATGCGCTGCATGGTCAACAGACTCATGTCACCGGTGGCCGGAGACGACGAGGCCTTGGGCACCGTGACGCAAGCCACCGCGGCCCACAGTGCTATAGCCACGATCAATG